AAACAAGCCGTAAGCACATTAAATTGTGGATTCGGACAACCCGTTCGATACAAAACGGAATAACGACAGGACACATTAAATTGTGGAAAAACGAATAACGAAAAAGGAAACCAGGTAAGGGAAGCGGACACATTAAATTGTGTGAAAACTCGATAAGTAGACACATGCAATTGTGTTACAATAGAGAGAGTAATTTAAGAACGTATACTTTCAGACCACAAAAAAAATGAATGAGCCATCAATCAGACCGTTCCTGTGCGACAGCATAGAAAAGTCAATGTTGAGAACAGAATGGGAGAAATGGCTCCGGTCGTTTCAACTGTACCTGAAAGCAGAGGAAGTGCACGACCCCGAGAAAAAGAAAAACAAATTATTGCACTTAGGGGGACCGCAACTGCAAGAGGTCATATTTAATCTCCCAGGGGCATTAGACGAACCGGAGGATGACGGGAAGACAGATAAGTTTGAGACACTAACGAGCAAACTAGAAGAATATTTCTCCCCCAAACGGAATTCCACCTTTGAGCGACATCTCTTCCGGAACATAAGCCCCGGTGAAGGGGAGGATGTAAATAAATTTCTACTGCGATTGAGGCACCAAGTAAAAAAGTGCTCCTTTGGTGAAACAAAGAACGAAATAGAAGAAATTTGTCTGAAAGACAAAATCATCGACACATGGGCTCCAATGGAATTGAAAAAGAAGCTCCTGGAAAGAGAAAGAAGTCTGGCAGAGGTAATAGAGATGTATCAGATCCACGAACAAGTCAACAAGCACTCGGGTAGCCTCCTCGGGAAAACGGATAACCCGATAAACAAGATCAATCCACAGGGAAGATGGGACAAAAGTGGGGAACCCGAGTGCAGCCGATGCGGACGAAAAGGGCATAGGAACGACAATCCGAATTGCCCAGCTAGAAATGAGAAATGTGCAAAGTGCGACTTGATAGGGCATTTCGCGCGCAAATGCAAAACAAAAATGACAAAGCGGCCTCGGGAAAGAGACGAACAAGAAAGGGGCAAACGACGGCGGGTCGACACAGGAAGAGTAAGATATGTAATAGACGAGGACAAGAAAGGTGACCAGAAAATAAAGTCGTTCGATTGCTTTAAGATCCGCGATATGGAAGCA